ACATATACACATATACACATATACACATATACACATATACACATATACACATATACACATATACACATATACACATATACACATATACACATATACACATATACACATACACATACACATACACACACATACACAAACACACACACACACAAACACATCGACACACCAACAGACACACTTAGCGAATTATATAAAGTAGGATAGGATGACATTTCACTTGTATTCAGGAGCCTTTGAATCTTTTACTCCCTCGATTGTTTTTACAGAATATGGCCGCGTTCTAAAAATCTTTGGTAATCGTTACGTGTTGGTCTCCTGTTCTGATAATAAACAACGAGTGTGTCGTATTCGTGGAAGGCTAAGGAAGAAGGTGCAGGTCAGAGGTGGTAGTATTGTTCTTGTCGAACTGAGGGACTACCAGGATTACAAGGTGAGACCTTCCTGTATTCCCCGTAACAGAAGTGTAAATAAAAATGTTTTTATGCCTTCGTGCCGTAATCAGATGGAATTTTAGGGTGATATTATTTACAAGTATACATATACTGAGGCCCAGCTTTTGAAAAAGAGGAAAAAGGTGCCCGAACAGCCGACAACCGATGAGTGCCCTTTGCTCGTATACGGTCAGATCGCTAGGGTCCTCTCAAAGGGCCGCGTGTTAGCCTTCTGTGTCGACGGTAAACAAAGGGTGTGTCGTGATCGGAGAGAGCCGAGAAAAAACATACGTATGGAAAGAGGCGATATTATTGTTATCGAATGCAGGGACTACCAAAAATTTGAGGTTCGCTTTTCTCATATTTTTCATGAAGAGGAAGGTCCTGTTTTTCTGCACCACGTGAAAAACAGGTGTAATTTTCAGAGCGATATTATTCACAAATGCGCACCCGATGAGGCCCAGCGTCTAAAAGATGCAGAATTACTGCCTGATTCCATAAAGGTCAATAATGGGGCTTTGTTAGAATATGGACGAGTTACTCAAGTTCTTCATAAACGTCATGTGCTGGTCCAATGTTTTGATGGTGAACAGAGAATATGTCGCATTCAAGGGAAGCGGGGAATGAGGACGACAGCTGGGTATGGTCAGACTGTTCTCGTTGGACTCAGAGACCGCGAAGATTGCAAGGTATGGCTTTTTCATAGATCCAAACTAACTCTTTTGTTTTCTTAAGGCAATGTTTTACTTGCAAATCTTGTAGGGGATTGTACTTCACAAGAGCAATCGTGATGAGGCTCAGCGATTGATGAAAAATAATAAGCTCTCTGGAACAGGGTCGACTGGTGTGCAAAAGGAGAAGGAAGTGGAAAACAGTTAAGTCTTAAGATCCCGGTTCAAATTGCAAGTCTAATATTTCCTTATGAAGTGTTCCGTCTTCTTTCCAGAGGAGGTTATGATGCACACTGAAAACAATGAAGGGGAGCAAGTATGCAACAATATGCATTTTGGTGGCAACGGAGAAGGTGAATAAAGGGGTAAAATAAAGGCTGGGTTTGGAAGTGGCGATTAATCAGCCGGTGTATTATGTAACATTCAAAATAGTTGCTTAATATTATAATGGTACATGAACTCCATTAGGAGTTTTATTTCGGACCGCATTTGTTGACAACCGAACTTCTTAAAAACACAGTTTACGATAATTTAGAGGGGCCCCTTTTTAGTTAAAAAGCGGAAGTATAGGTAGGGGATAGTTCATCGGTAAATGAAAAAGCGAGAAAATTCGCCGATCCCAAGAAATAAAGCTCCAAAAAAAANCGCATTCTCATGAAGGTAGGAATTTCGATGACAATCGGGTGAATGATATGAAATGTATAAATCACTTCTTTGTTATAGATGTCATTAATGAAAATTTTGTTGGAANAAAAAAAAAGGGGGGGGGGAAGTAAAGTTTGGACGAGAACACCAAGACGGAGCGGACATGGAATGGGTATTTGGACGAGATTTTAGTTGTTGCAATTACGCAAAGAACATACTACATCGAGCTAAAGCTATCCAGAATTGATTTTCACTGTCGCTATGAGTCATGGCGAGTTGTTTGAACGCTCATATGGGACCCCTTGTGATAGGTGCAGCCTCTACATTGCCTGTGAAACTCGTCCAAGGATCCACAGACTGGACAAGGACACGAGACTGTCTTTGAGAATTTACATCGCCCTGTCTTGTCCGTTTTCCGACTTACAGCGCCACATGTAATACAAGGGGGGTGGGGGCACAAATTTATCGTAGGGGATCTCTCATGAACCATTTTTAACGTGTACTGTGCCTTTAATGTCACTCGAGCTGCCAATTCCACATTTAAGTGAACCATTAAGCTCTTCAGTTTTGCAGTTGCGTAGCCGCATTGAGTGCGGAGGAAAACGGATGGGCTTTCGGACAGCTTGCTGGGTAGGTATGCGGTCTACCCCTATGATCTTCTTATAATACGGGTATGACGAATGCGGTCACGTCAAGGGCTTCGAGTCGGGAGCGGTTGTACTTACAGCCGCCGCCTCCCTTTTTTATTACGATACAACTACCATGTTCTATGACGGCTGCCTTGCAAATCTATCTTACACTTGTTCTATTGAAAAATGTTGGGTCGAGAAAGGGTATATATAACGTTTAAGCTCAATCGTTCGCGGGTCCGGTATCATCCCGAACACCGTGGCCCGGTCGCAGCACCCGTCCCATATCGCACAAAGGCGTTGGAAGAATGGAGCGCACGATTCGTGAGTTCGGGAATCCTTTCATTACTTGAATTCGCTTGCCGCTCCATTCAATTCCAATGCGATCTCGATCGTCGATAACATAGGATGAGTCATTCCAAACAATCAAGTCTATAAAACCTAAGAAAGAAACAGAAACAGAAAAAACAATCAAAACTAAACAAAAAAAGAAAATAGTCAACAAAAAATATTGCGTACTATCGATTGGCGGGTAGGCGGGCTGAATAAGGTATTTGCAATTTGAAGCCGCAGGACAACTAGAAAAAATATGCCGCATGCCGCACAGAGAATAGTGGGAAATCGGGGATAAGTTCCGTCACTCTTCGTTCACGCACAAAACCCTTGAGCCCAGTTAATTAGATCGCCAGCAGTGTTCTAAAGTTTACGTTAAAGGGCGGAGATTTCCATCTAAGGAGATGCTCTTACTCTCTATTAAAGTTGCCCCTTACTTTTCTTATGAGCGACGCTAACTGGCTTCGTGATATGCTGTGATGGGCCCATGCTCCAACAGTTGGAGCATGGTCCCGCCACAGCATATCACGAAGAATGCAAAATGAGTAATACCATCGTTGTAATAACAAACAGCAAAGGTTTATTCAAAAAACGCGGAAGGCTGCAAAGTTAGCGTGGCAGCACTAAGACCTAGCAGTGATACGCAGTCGAGATGACTTTTTTTTTCATGGGTACACGGCTCAGTTTTGAGGTGCACAAGAACGCATGATAGGTCGAATTTCTCAAGTGTACGCGTCTTGAGACTATCAGCCCTACCTAGGCTTCAGAAGTGGAAAAGAAACTCTCTAGAATACGTTCCGATAGGGAACTCAAAGTTATTAACAAGGATAGGTGAAAATGCAGCTCTGGCTCACGGTTATGTCTCGCTAGACACAGTACCACGAGCTTCTAAAATGTATCAACAGCAGCTGCTAATCTTTTTAACCTCTCTAGTCGTTTCAACGCCCTCTTCCACACTGTGAAAACAAATTTTTTATCGCACCATGCAAAAGGTTTGTTCTTGATGTGGTAAGATGTAACTGAATAGTATGAAGGTCTTGCAGAGCTTTTATTACAAACTACTGTTCATGCTATAGAGGCTAGGTTTTCTCTAAGGATAACATAGTGCTGAACCACGGGGTGTGACATTTTTCACCCACACGCCGCGTCGCGATCGCCCGCACCCACCGTGCAAGCTGGAATGCGATGGTTGATTTGAGCACACTTTGTGTGATTATTGAACACAAAATGTGTGAGTAAGATTGAGGGATCGATGGTATTGGTTTGTCTTTGTAAAACCCTATATTCCTTAAGAATTCTCCTCCACATAGGTAAGCACAACACGACATCAAAAATATCAGACAAAAAACAGGGGCCTTATCGATTACCGATTAAGCTAACGTTTAGGAAATTCCACGAGACTTCACGAGAATTTAGGGAAAAAATTCCCCTATCCATCCCATGGAGTGGAGAAATTTTTACAACTTTGTAAAATTATTAAACTCCGCAAATGCGGCTATTTTAATAACCTACAGTACTAGCAGGTGCGCAGGACAAGCGAAGGATAACTTCAGTGGATCCAGCAATCGAAGAAAAGCGCATTCTCATGAAGGTAGGAATTTCGATGACAATCGGATGAATGATATGAAATGTACGAATCACTACTTTGTTATAGATGTCATTAATGAAAATTTTGTTGGAATGTGAAGAGAACAATATATATGTTCTATCGCCCTCGACTTCGACACCAACTTCCGAGAAAACAACGCCATCCAAGGAGGATATTTTGGGACAACTGATGGAAAATCAGATCTTGAAACATGAACTTTTGCAGAAGAAATGCCGGCTGGCAGATATCCAACTTGAGTACTTCGCGAAGCAATTGGAACGCGAGTCGAAAGGGTAGAATTAACGACGAGACAGCTCACCCAAGAACATATTTTATCCCCTCCAATGTTATCTTATCAATTAGTTTCTCAAATTTTACTGGCTTCAGTTGCTTACTAGTCACTTAAAAATGACGGATGCACCTGGTGTTGATATTGTTGGTGATAAATGGAAGATCGAACCAGAAACACAGCTGCGGTTGTTCCATCACCTTAATAGCTAATGTATAAATTGATTTAGTAGAGTTAATTAATGCAGGATACCAGTGAATCTTCCGGTTGATTAGGGCTTTGTATATATACGGCTTTTATCACTTTAATTCTATACAACTCAAGAGACGGCATCGAGTTTTCGTGGTTGCAGAATAAATGAATTTTAA